AACTTGCACTTTAATGTGCAGTTTCAGGTAAAGAAACAAAAAGATATGTATATTCACTGCCTTTATATTTTTAAAAGTGTATGTAAGAGATTCCAATCCTGTCAATTTGTTGACAATTCACTTTGTTTTGTGTTACTTTATTAGTTATTTTTCGAAATTCTTATCTCATTTTGTTCATCAGTAATATGTTTTAATACATGCCTCACGCAAAACTATGTATATAATTTAATTCCTTGTAACCTTCCATTTTTCATAACAGGTTAATGTAAATTGGTAGATGTTTATAATTCAAAATCTTTTATGGTTAAGCAAATTCCCTGTTTTAAATAGTGTATTTCTACACAGTTATTTGTGAATTATTAGTTCTTACATTTTCAGCATTTTCAATTTTTTACCAATCAATTTTATCAATTAAATATGAAACTCATCTTATACAGATAATTACATTACATCTGATATTACATCGATCAATTTACTAGTTTATTAATACATGAAAACTTGATTATTAGGCCATGATATCCATCTATCGATACGTATTTAAGTATTTTTCTTATCGTTGCATATAACATATTTAATTCATTTCTTTTGCATAACAATATTGATTCACTTACGTAAATACATTAGATTTATATGCGACAGAATATATATTATATTATGTACAGACATATAAGAAATGATGAAAAATAGACATACATTACTCGTAAATTATAAATTTCCCTTAAAAATCTGCAATAATTAACATACAATAGTCAAAACGATGCAATTATAAAGAAAGTAATTGAAATACATAGTTTATTTATTATTTATAAATACATGTTATATTATTTAATATATAAAGTTTATTTAACGTATAAATATATGCAACATATATATATATATATATAATAAAAAGTAGAGACAGATTATATAAAATTTCTAAAAAGTTATTAAGCATATAAAATCTTTGACTTTTTAATAAGAAATATTTTGCTGTAATATGAGGTAATTTATATAAGGTAATAAGATAATAAGGATTGCTTTTGAATATACAATAATAATTTTGCACAACAGCACAATTTTTTTCATCTACAAAAGATGTATAAAACAACTGAAATTAAATATCTTTGATATTTAAAATAGAGTTACATATGTAACTTCAATTCTTAATAATAACTTTTTGTAAATTTTATATATTCCGTCTCTACTTTTCTTCTCTATCACTTGAACCACATCATGATTGCTATTTAGTCTTGAATCGTAGTTTTATGTCAAAGCTAAAATGTAATATTACATTAAAGTAATATTAAATTGATTAATTATCACATTTATCTGATGCTAAGTATGTAAGATCTTATAAGATCTCATGTTGATAAAAAATATCAATATTTATATTTTTCATAGAAATACAAAGACATTGTATTCTATATAAAAACTACATACAAAATATCAATATTTAGTTTTTATATATAATAAATACAAAGTTAGTATCGATAAAAAGAGCTCAACATTTTTCTCTTGCAATATAGAGCAATTAATTTATTATGGAAAAATAATTCCTGATTTAGGAATATTATTTTTAATAAAAAATGTAATTCTGAATAAATTTTGCTGTCTGCATAATAATTATTGATAATAAAATTATGGTAGCACAAAGTTGCAAATTTTTTCCGTGCATGAAAATAAGCATGAGTTATAACCAACAATATTAAAAAGAATATACAAAAGGAATGTTATCGTTAAATAATATAAATTGTATATTAAGAAGATGGTTATAACATTAACATTTAGATTTTAAATATTGTGGAAAAAAACTCGAAATTAATGAATCGAATAATTTTTGTACAATACAAATCGTACGTACGTATATATACATCGTATATATACATGTATAATTATCGAGTGACTGCAGGATGAAGGTGCGGCGACATTACATAAGGTCACTTTTAAATAGCAGAGAGCAGAATATATAATTATATTGATGTAAAAAAAAAAATCACATTGCAATCGTATCTATATCATTATTCCCAGATAGCAAACTGCGCACAGTCTGCATGCAGATTGGCAGCAAATTCGAACAGATTCTGGTAGCAGAACCATAGCCATCTGTGTCCGCATTAAGCTCAGGATCTG